CAAGCGAGTTCTTAACCATCGCGCCACTCGGCCGGCCCAGTATCACTGTATTCTTGAAGGATCGTTTTGTGTGGTATTAAATCTAGGTGGATGGCTATCTCTGAAGTTCAATTTCTTCATCTATTAGAAGTGGGTAGTAAATATCTTCCTTCATGATTCCGTAAGGAGGATCTTGGGAGGACCATATGGCATAATGACTAAAAGCTTGAAACAATAAATGTCAGATGTTTTGTTTGTCTTCTGCTCCATGAGAAAACTTTGGGAGTGCTGTAAGACAGGACTAACTTTCTCAGCGAACAGGCTCTTTGCCAAAACGTCTCAGCACAGTGTTTCTCAACCTTGTTTTCATTATTGGCCCTGTAAGGAAACTTTTTAGACACTTGTTTTTTTAATTTCCTCTTCCCCCATACAATTTACTACTACAGACACACTGCAGATCTATTATGTTTTATATGTATATCTATGCTTTATACATGAAGAATTAAGATTTTTTTTGCCACTTTCTCCTTCCCCCCAAGAACCAATTTTTGCTCCCTTCAGGGTTGTAGAGCTCTCATTGAGAATACATGTCCTAGTGGCATTAGAATATTAGCAACATTTTGAAACTGCAGTGTTGCCTAAGCATTGAAGGATCAGGCTTTGGGTTGGGTAGACCTGGAATTGAATCCCTGCACTGTCACTGACTAGCTGTGCCATATTGGAAAATTACTTAACCTCTCTAAACCTGTTTTAGGTGTGTAATATTGTGAAATGATTAAATGAGCATTTACTACAGTGCCTGATTTTGTTCAATAAGTGATAATTATTAATAAACATTTCGAAAAAAACCTTGTACTCCTTAACTTTTTTCTTTTATTATGAAAAGAACATATATATGTTTTAATGTATTTAGACATTAAAGAAAAATAAGTATTTTAATTCCTGTCTCTCCCTCTTTCCAGAACCAATCCCTCACATTGTAAGGGAGACCCCAGAGGAGGCGCTGGGCTCAGTGGCCCAGTGAGAAGGAGACACCCCATGAAGGGCCTGAGGGGAGCTGTGGGGCTGGGGAAGCAGACAGAGAGGCTTTCAGGGAAGCGATGCAGAGACTACCACCGAGATCCACCTACCTCCTAAAACAATGGAAAAAATGCCTCAAAGGCCTGAAAGCAGTAGCCTGAAGAATTTGACCTTCCTTTAGGACAGTGGTTCTCCAAAGGTGGTCCCTGGACCAGCAACATCAGCATCCCTGGAGAATTTATTAAAGCTTCCAATATTTGGGAACCAACCCAGATCCTCTGACTCAGAAACTCTAGGGTTGGAGCCCAACAATTTGAATTCTACAAAGCTCTCCAGGAGATTCTGAGGCACTCTCGGATTTGAGAACCATTGCTCTGGTACGGGTGTTCCCTCTCCCAGTGTTTTGGGGAGGACAGGGTTGCAAAAGATTTGCTAACAGAGGGGCCTCCCACGGAATCCCCTTCTGAGGAGAAACAGGGGTTGGGAGTTTAGAAGGCTTCCAGCCAGAAGTCAACTGAATGCTTGAGCATCCCTTACAGATCTCTAATGTAGTTGGATTCCCTTCAAAAGAAGCTGTTACTTTGAGTTTAGTTTGGAGCTTGAAGTGAACACAACCTCCAACAAAAATGTGTACGAGAGTCTGCCTGTGTGTTGAGAAACTTCCTCTGTAATATATTATGTTTTCTTTCTATGTGAAAATAGAATGTCAAGACTGTGCCAACGTATGGTTTAGATAGAGAGGACGTTGTATGTTTTGGCCCCATATTGTTTCACGAGTCCAAGGTTCATTTTGTGCTGGTCAACCTGACCCAGTCAGAAGAATGTTCTAATTTATAAATGTATCTATCTAACATTAAGGTAACGGAACCAATAATAGACTTTAATTCAGCTGCTTGGTTCTTAAAAAACAAAATCAGTGGGATTTAAGCAGTTTTCCTTCCACTAACTTCTAAACCTGGAAGAAGAGAGACATATCGATTAGGAATTAGGCCAGGCCACATATAACAGGAAAGCTAAAATAGCAGTGGCTTATATACATAAGGGTTTTATTTTCTCACGTCAAAAATGTCTAGAGGTAGGCAGTTCAAGGCCCATGGTTATCAAGATCCAGCTTCCTTTTATATGTCTGTCCCATTGTCCTAGTTTTTGACTATCATTCTCAGTGAAGGTCGCCTCATTCACAGAAAGCAGGACTTAGGAAAGGGGAAAGGGGGACAAAGGGTAAGGGGGAGAAGGCAAAAGGGGGCTGAGGTTGCCTTCACTGTGGAAGCTCCACACATAACTGTCTCCTACAGAAAACTAGGCCAGAAAACTAGCTGCAAGGGAGTGTGGGAAATGTAGTCTTATTCTAAAAGGCAATGATTCCAGCTGAAAATCAGGGTTCTGTTACTGAACAAGAAAGAGGGCTGGATAGTGGGGTAAGCCGAGATGGGTTCTGTCGATGTACAGGATCTTCAAATGCCCAGGAGAGCACTTTATAAGGGCTGAGACTTCACGACAGCCTTGAGCAATAGCATCGACATGATCTCCTGAGACATAATCCTGTTTCTCTACTTCTTTCTGGAGGGGTTGGGGGAGCTCCCATGCTGAGCTATGTTCCAGGAGCAGTTCTATCCATCTCAAGGGGGAGAATGCAGGGCTTTGACCTGGTTCCCTGCCCCCTCTTTAATCCCTGACAGCTTTGCACATGTTTGCATGCCCCCTTTCTCCATTAACATATCCTGGATCCTCACTCCCCTTTCTCTGTTTCCATTTGACAAATGAAGACACTGAGGCTCAGGGAAGATAAGCAACTTTCCTGGCTGCAGAGCTACATTTTAGAACTGGATGTCTCAGGGACACCTCTGTCATCATGGGTATCCATGACTTCCTTGCATTCCTTTTATCTTCCTGCTGAGCCTGATCCCTAGAGAGAACAGGGCTGGGAAGTCTGCCAGAACTTCTTGGGTGCTTTAATGGAATGGGGTGCATCTGACAATAGGCCAGAGTGTCTTCTTTTGGTGGGGAGAGCTTGCAGTTAAATACGTTCTTAGGGGTCAAAGTGTGTGATGGACCTGGATGGGGTAGATATAAGGGCAGGGGTGCTGAGAAACCCCTAGCTTTGGGGAGGGGCTGTCTGAAAGAGCCCCTCTGACTCCAATGCCACCGAAGGGTAAAGGCATCATCAGCCCTTTACAGCTCTACTAGGATCCTCTCCCGACCCTTTTCTCACTGTAGGCGACTCCAGTCCCACGGTTGGCTGGGGCCTTGGGGTTGTGGTCTGGGAGGAATCTGGAATCAGGTGAAAACTCTTGACCACAAGGATCTCATTTCCCGGTGAGTTGAGTCTTTGAGTCTGGAGTCGCTCCTAGTCTGAGCAGTAAAGCCTTGGGCCTTGAGAGAGACTCAGTAGAATTTGGCTTTAAAAGTTAGAATGTATGAAAAAGAAGATTTAAGAAACATGACAACTAAATTCAGTGCATGAACATGGATCAATATATTTTGGAAACCATAAATTTTGCTTTAAAGGAGAAAAAAATTAGAATGCATGACCATGGGGGAAAGGTTAAATTGAATTCAGGTATGAAAGACTGTGAAGTCATTAAAAATAAATAGGGATATAGACATAAAAAGATCTCTGAGACGTACTATTCAGTGAAGAAAAGTTGCAGAATAAATTAAAAAAGACAATAAAAAACAACTTTCTTCCAAATGCACACGTATGAAATTACCGAAAAGGTGCTTTAGGATTTCAGCAAACGAGTAACTGCTCTGAGCCCCATAGGGCTGCTATGAGCATTAAATGACATAATATTTTGCAAAAGGTCAAAGTGGGAAACAAGTGTGAGGCAGAGGATAGGAAACTATCCTATGCCATTACGGTCTTACCCTTGCTCCCAAGGTGAAATTGGGAAAAGAAGGAAGGAAAAATCGAGAGCTTATTATAGGACAGACACTGTTCTAAGCACGTCCCATGCATTACTTGCCCGCACTACAACCCTATGAAGTAGGTATTACTATCATCCCCAGTTCATAGATGAGGAACTGAAGAACTTTCATGTTAATTTCCATGGTCTTTCAGCTAGCAAGCGGCAGTGGGAACTTGAACCCAGGTTGACTCCAGAGTGCTGTTCTCAGTTGCGATAACATGTTGGAACACCCTGGAGATTTTACATATATCTGCTTTTTACCGTCCCCTTCTTGCCACAGTTCTGAGGAAACATTTAAATCTCCAAGAATGAAATGTGAAACTGAGTCTAAACACTATTGCGTACTTCCATGTGTGTGCCAGACACAAGAATAACAGTGGCTAACATTTTCTGAGCACTTGCTGTGTGCAAGACACTCTTCTAAGTGCTTTACAAGAGTTAATCTAATACACACACTTCATGCAGGAGGTACTGTCATTTTACAGTTGAGAAAAGTGTTGCACAGAGTTTAAATAACTTGCCCAATGCAAAGATGTTGAAGATACGGCCTTAACCTCAGTCCAAAGTGGAACAATAAATAAAACAACGCAGTACGTGCTGCAATGTTGTATTTTCGAAGTTCTCAAGGTGCGAAGAGAGAACCTTCCCTGCAAAGGGAACCTGTGACAATTTGTGGGGGATGCTGAGAGGTGGAGGTGGGCACACTTAACAGCAGGGTGGGGGGACTGCACGTGCAAGGCCCTGGGATGAAAGAGTGCGGACCCAATCTAAACTTCTGGGTTACAGTCGAACCCCATGTCAAGGGTAGAGCCTCCCAAAGAAACGCGGGGACCGCTGTTAGTGGCTGCCCGGCCTCTAGCACCCCAATCTACAGAGCGCACACCTCCCCGCGGGGGCGTGGGCGTGGGCGGTGCTCGGGCTCTGCGTCCTTTCTCAGCTCTGGCCACAAGGAGCCCCGCCTCGCCCCTCCTCGTACCACGTGACCCGCAAGCGACAAACTGCGCTCCTGTTACGCTCGGAAGGCAGAGCGATGATTGGTGGAAGCGATGGATACGTAAGGAGACTCCCGGGATTGGTTGCCGCCTTCTCCACCGTAGGAGGGGCGGGCTGAGATGCCTCACCTGGAGAATTTTTGAGGCAAAACTACCGGGAGCCCTTTCTTCCTAGCTGCAGCCCCTTGTGTCGGCTTCCTGTCAACTATGCGGCACTTTCCATCTTTGGAAACTAGATGCCCCTTAGGAGAATTATGGAGTCATCCACCACGGCTTTTCCCGCGGTGAGCGCTGGCCGTCAGCGAGGTTTCGTATTGGCTGCCGTGGGCTGAGGCGGGCCCAGGCAGAAGCCCGCGCTGCGGGTGGGGGGAGCCCGGCTTCCCCGCGGGGTTCTCCAGCCGAGGACCGACGGCGCTCCCTCGTGGTGTGCAGGGGTAACGCCTGGCACTGGTGCTGCGTGCACGCCGCGCTTGGCTTGTTTGACCCCCGGAACGCAACGCCTTTTAACCTAGCAAGAGAAAGACCTAGATTCAAATAAGAATGAATCCCGTTGGATGAGAGCGCAGGCTCGCGGGGCCGACTGTCTGTGGTAGGTTCCAGCTTTACACTTAACTCAGTTTCCTTTCATTCCTGCCTGGGTCTCATCTGTAAAATGGGGATAATAATATCTATCTCAGAGGGTTGCTGTGAAGTCTCAATTAATATGCTTAAGGTTTGTGCGGTGCCAGGCACATAATAGGTGCATCGTAAACCGTAACTGGTGGAGATCTATGAACTAGTTAAGAATGAGTGTTCTGGAGTTTGAAAGACCAGCCGTTGATCCCCAGATTACTTAGCTCCTCTGGCTCCATTTCCTCATCTGTACCTGAGACTAACGCTAGCACCTCGTGGAATTCTTGAATAGTTGGGATAATACTGGTAAAAATACTCAACCTATAACAATTGGGAAATGTTGGCTCCTGTTACTACTGTTATATTATTAACTGTTATGATTACTGCTTCCCTCTTCCTCCCCCAGGCAAAGGGCCACATCAGCCCAAGTTGGCCCCTGCCAAAGAGGAATAGTAGTTTAATTTGCGTGGAATTAGAGTCTATACATCAGTGGCATTCATATGTGTGAAGACCGGACTTGCTCTACATCACAGTCCTGCCGACGATTTCTACCACTCTATTAGTCACTGTCTTTTTAAAGCCATAATTGGTACCTGAGTAGAGCATAACATTATAATCATTAACTCTTTGGTGCTGAATTAGTTTATTGGAGTATCTTTTAAATGAACTGTAGTGTTGACCAGTGTTCTGAGGGCAGGGCAGAATGACACAGAATGACATGCTCTGATGGGGTAAGATAAGGTGTCAGGGATCTGAAGCTGAAGGATCTAAGTCAACGTGTACTCTAGGGTGAGCCTGTGATGGGACCAATGATGGTGATGTGTGTGGTGGTGGTTGGGAGTAGAGCAACTTGGAGTACTTGTGAGTCCTGGGAAGACCACTGGACTAAGACTCAGAGATTTGAATTATGGCTATAACTTAATTTCTCTTTGGCTATGTGAACTTGGACAAGTCACTTATATTTTCTGAGAATTAGTTTCCTTGTTAGTAACATGGAAATGGAATTAAGATTCTCTTGTACCTGGCAATAAGTAACTACTCTATAAATACTAGTTATTATTATCAGTTCCTCCTGAAAAGTATGTTGAGGATTATGGAAAAAAATGCAATCTGTTAAGTTTTTATATTCCATGAGTCATGGGTGCCTGAGATCACCAAATGAGCAGTTGGGAGGCTGGCAGGGGCAATCCACCTTTCCTTTCTT